TAGGGGGCGGGGGAGAACCCTTTCGCGTGGCAGGCGATCGGAGAGGAAGGCGTCTTCTGGAGGAGAGACACTGTGGGAAGCTCTGCCCACCGAGCGGCAAAGAGGGAGCGAACGAGTGAGAAGATGAAAGATGGAGGGGAAAAAATAAATACATTTGAGAGCATGTTGTAATGACGGTGTCCTTCCTAGGGGAGGTGTGCGAACATGACACAAATGTACCTGTTCTCATCAGGAAGTCCCGCCCATTGCTCACATGATTCTTCAAGAGGAAAGGACATATCTCAGTAAGGGAATGCTTCTTGTATTCATTCAACCCGTCGTTTTGGTCCAGCTTGTTTTTTGTCATGGAAGCTTGTGGCTGCGTCGCGATCCATCTCGTTGTTCTCGGCTCAAATGAGATGAAGTCTTCGCTGTCATAACTGTAGTGTTCCCAACCATCCACTTCACCGGTTTCCTCATCCCATTCACAACCATTTATCCTCTGGATCAAGTGAACTCCTGAAAGTGTCACGCAAACGATGAACAGTGAGACGCCAAGCGGTGATGTGCGTGTTGATGAGTCGGGGCACATCCGATACATTTTACCAGCGGAAGGTTGAACGGAAACTAACCTGCAGTGTGGTTGAAGCGCTCCTTCGCGATTTCAATGTTGACTTTGGACACCCGCTCATTGGCAATGTTATTCTCGTACTCTCGCTCCCAGAAGTATGGATCCTTTGCTGTGATTTTGTTCACCCAGTCCAGTTTGGCTTTCGTTTTCCTGCTGTTGCTGTCAAACTGCAAAATCTGAATGCCGTCAACATATGTGGCCTCCCAGTACTCTGGTAGCTTTGCAATTTGAGAAGACGATGTTGTGAAAACTTTGAGCGTGTGCATCACTGAAAGAAAAGACAAGAAAATGAAGGGAAAATTTTACTCATTTCTTTAATGTGAAGCAATCTTGTCCTATTTGCATTTTAAATGATTCTGTCTGCAGGTGGAACATGGACACACTTAACATGCCTTTCTTGACCTTTGAACTTATTTCATGTACATCGAAGCACATTCGTACTCACAACCTTCTCAATTAATCTGATGACCCACGCTCTCAATTGATTTTATTTTTATGACCTATATTTGTCCATCAATATGAAAGGTGCCAATGTGACATCGATGTGATATTTTATCTTTCACATTCCTCATCGGCTATTTACATACACTTCCAAAGGAAATTGAAGGACAACTTCAACTCCTAAAGGGCAAAAAATGCTAAAATATAAATTCAAATCATTTCATGATCATTTAAAATACAATACAATACAATACATGCTGATTTATATTGCGCTTTCACAACAGCGGCAGCTGAAACAAAGCGCTTAACAAAACAGTTAACATAAAGTAAAATAATAAACACAACACATAACATAAAACACGGACAGTCGTGCAGTCCTAACCACTTTTCCGGGACACGCT